ACTCACTCACTCACTCACTCACTCACCTCACTCACTCACTCACTCACTCACCTCACTCACTCACTCACTCACCTCACTCACTCACCTCACTCACTCACTCACTCACTCACCTCACTCACTCACTCACCTCACTCACTCACTCACCTCACTCACTCACTCACTCACTCACTCACCCACCCACCCACCCACCCACCCACTCACTCACTCACTCACTCACCTCACTCACCTCACTCACTCACCTCACTCACTCACTCACCTCACTCACCTCACTCACTCACTCACCTCACTCACTCACCTCACTCACTCACCTCACTCACTCACTCACTCACCTCACTCACTCACTCACTCACCTCACTCACTCACTCACTCACTCACTCACCTCACTCACTCACTCACCTCACTCACTCACTCACTCACTCACTCACCTCACTCACTCACCTCACTCACTCACCTCACTCACTCACTCACTCACTCACTCACTCACCTCACTCACTCACTCACCTCACTCACTCACTCACTCACTCACTCACTCACTCACTCACCCCCCACCCACTCACTCACTCACTCACTCACTCATTCTTATGTTTTATTAGAACATTGCAGTATTTATTAATAATGATTTGACCATAAACATCAGACAGCTGTACCTGATGCACTCTTCGGGAGTCTCCCGGGCTTGATGTCTCTGTTGATGGGGGGACCTTTACATCCTGTGAGGGAGGAAGTGGCAGTTGCCATGACAACAGCAGGCCGTGACGCACAGACACATCAACACATCGATCTACACACTTGCTTATCAAACCGTATATATGAGATGTGTGAGAAATGTATTAAATTAAGATAATAATTAAAAGGATTTAATTTTGCCGTGTTTTGTGTAGTTGTTTTGTGGTGATTTTTGTGTGTTGTGTACATGTGTGTAGTTGTTTTGTGGTGATTTTTGTGTGTTGTGTACATGTGTGTAGTTGTTTTGTGGTGATTTTTGTGTGTTGTGTACATGTGTGTAGTTGTTTTGTGGTTATTTTTGTGTGTTGTGTATGTGTGTATGTTTTGTGTAGTTGTTTTGTGGTGATTTTTGTGTGTTGTGTACATGTGTGTAGTTGTTTTGTGGTGATTTTTGTGTGTTGTGTATGTTTTGTGTAGTTGTTTTGTGGTGATTTTTGTGTGTTGTGTACATGTGTGTAGTTGTTTTGTGGTGATTTTTGTGTATTGTGTACATGTGTGTAGTTGTTTTGTGGTGGTTTTTGTGTGTTGTGTACATGTGTGTAGTTGTTTTGTGGTTATTTTTGTGTGTTGTGTATGCGTGTATGTTTTGTGTAGTTGTTTTGTGGTGATTTTTGTGTGTTGTGTATGTGTGTATGTTTTGTGTAGTTGTTTTGTGGTGATTTTTGTGTGTTGTGTATGTGTGTGTGTTTTGTGTAGTTGTTTTGTGGTGATTTTTGTGTGTTGTGTGTGTGTTTTGTGTAGTTGTTTTGTGGTGATTTTTGTGTGTTGTGTATGTGTGTGTGTTTTGTGTAGTTGTTTTGTGGTGATTTTTGTGTGTAGTGTGTGTTTTGTGTAGTTGTTTTGTGGTGATTTTTGTGTGTTGTGTATGTGTGTGTGTTTTGTGTAGTTGTTTTGTGGTGATTTTTGTGTGTTGTGTGTGTGTTTTGTGTAGTTGTTTTGTGGTGATTTTTGTGTGTTGTGTATGTGTGTGTGTTTTGTGTAGTTGTTTTGTGGTGATTTTTGTGTGTTGTGTATGTGTGTGTGTTTTGTGTAGTTGTTTTGTGGTGATTTTTGTGTGTTGTGTGTGTTTTGTGTAGTTGTTGTGCTCACCTGGCAGAACGCGCAGGGGTCGAGGAGGAGTAACCTGCACAACATCCTGCAGACACAAACACAACTGTACACACTTCGGCACAACACACACACACACACGATCATCAGAGACGACAAACACACTTACTGCGGTGACGATGCGACTCTTGGGGGCTCGTTCCGCAGGACAGCTGTCTGTAACACACACACACACACACACACACACACACACACGTACAGTTAGAACGCTGCTTATGATCTCTGAAGACTGACACACACACACACACACACACACACACTGTCAGGGCTGTGTCTAAAGGGCGCTGCAAACTGCTTTTTGTTAAATGTTTATTTTATTATGGTATTAATTATTAAATGTTTAATGTGCTAACGCCCTCGGAACAGTCAGACAGAAGAATCCAACACAACTGATCAAACACGATCACTCGATCAGCTTTACAAGCGCCTCAGACTGCAGCATTAGATCATGAAGCGAGCGGTTCGTCATTACTCTGGCGATCCACTAGATGGAGACGTCATCATCACATCAGCCCGACACTTACGCTCATGCGTTTGAGGTAATAATATGATTGTACGGAGGCGTATTGCATTCACTTGAAGAAAAAAAATCTACTCTGTTTTTCTGAATTAACGAGTTAATTTTTCATGAGAAAAATTTTTTTGCTCTGTTTTTCTGAATTAATGAGTTAATTTTTCATGAGAAAAAAAAATTTTGCTCTGTTTTTCTGAATTAACGAGTTAATTTTTCATGAGAAAAATTTTTTTTGCTCTGTTTTTCTGAATTAATGAGTTAATTTTTGATGGATTTTTTTTTTTGCTCTGTTTTTCTGAATTAATGAGTTAATTTTTCATGAGAAAAAAAAATTTTACTCTGTTTTTCTGAATTAACGAGTTAATTTTTCATGAGAAAATTTTTTTTGCTCTGTTTTTCTGAATTAACGAGTTAATTTTTCATGAGAAAATTTTTTTTTGCTCTGTTTTTCTGAATTAATGAGTTAATTTTTCATGAGAAAATTTTTTTTTTTCTGTTTTCTGATTAATGAGTTAATTTTTGATGGAATTTTTTTTTTGCTCTGTTTTTCTGAATTAATGAGTTCATTTTTCATGAGAAAAAAAAATTTTGCTCTGTTTTTCTGAATTAACGAGTTAATTTTTCATGTGAAAAATTTTTTTGCTCTGTTTTTCTGAATTAACGAGTTCATTTTTCATGAGAAAAATTTTTTTGCTCTGTTTTTTCTGAATTAACGAGTTCATTTTTCATGAGAAAAATTTTTTTGCTCTGTTTTTCTGAATTAACGAGTTAATTTTTCATGAGAAAATTTTTTTTTGCTCTGTTTTTCTGAATTAATGAGTTAATTTTTGATGGAATGTTTTTTTTGCTCTGTTTTTCTGAATTAATGAGTTAATTCAGAAAAACAGCAAAAACAAATTTTCTCATGAAAAATTAACTCGTTAATTCAGAAAAACAGAGTAGATTTTTTTTCTTCAAGTGAATGCAATACGCCTCCGTATGATTGACAGCTGAAGGAATCTAATGTTTTGTATTGTATTGTTGTATTGTTTCTACATGTCACACACACACACAGAGTATTTTGATTGCTTGACACTGTGATTCGCACCAACCTTCATCCAGGTGTGTGTGTGTGTGTCTGATGATCCGCTCTCTTCTGTTCATTTCATCCTGAGGAATCAAACACATCTGATCAGTGACACACACATCCTAACTTTAACTGAGGATAGTAAGGAGAGTACTGGATCTTTAGACAGTGTTTGGGCCGAGCTGACCTGTTGAAGAGAGATGGTGTTCATCCCTCCTGGGCTGGTGCTGCTCTTCTGTCTCGTTAGAGCTCAAACATGCCCATCTGGGGCTCAGGTCAGACTGGATAAACCCACCGTCTGCTAGCGGCCTCGCGACACCGACGTCAGATAAATCCCATCACATAGAGCCTCTTTCACCTATATATCATACAGAGACTGTGTCTGTTCCCTGACTTTGGAAATCCAAAAAAAAGATTCAGATTAAAAATTGTATTAATATTCAACAAATAAAAAACAGATGATAAAGCTTCAAATTACTGCAAAATCACACATAGTTAATGATATGATCTCAGATTAGAATCTAGATGTGCTGTGTTTGACAGATCTGGCTGAAAACAAACGATTACATTACTTTAAATGAGTCCATCCGTCAAGATTACCTCTATCCTCTATCTGGCCTCATGTAAACTTCACTTAGCCAAAGCAGCAAAGCCGACTCTGTTATAAATATGTTAGACCTATAACCTCTGCCACTAAAGATTGCTTTATCAATAATCTTCCTGATCAGTTTCATCATCCCGGATAGCTTAGAAGAACTCCATATCGTGACAGAAACGTTTAACTCTCTCTTTCCAGCACTTTAGACGCAGTTGCTCCGTTGCAAAACTAAACTAGAGGTATTCTGTATTTCATGGAAGGAGAGCTCCATCGCATACAGAGAGGCCTTAAAAACGGCTAGATCTGCTTATTTCTCAAACCTATTAGAAGAAAATAAACATAATCCTAAGTATTTATTTGAAACAGTGGCTAAACTAACGAAAAAGAAATCTCCAAGTCCAAGCAACACAGCAGTAATGAGTTTATGAATCATTGTCTGATATTAGATATAGACGCTTCCGTCCACAGAGATCTACATCTTTAGCTCTAAGACTGAAACAACCTCAAAAATGAACAATATAGTTCATATTCTCGGCGATATTTCTTCAGCCACTTCAGGGAAGTCATTAGTGTAAAATATTTCATGAAGAAGGTTCGGACCCTCCCGAACGAGAAGTGCCTCTTAAATAAGGTCAAAGAGACTTTCTTATTCCTCGATATTATCCTGTCAAAACCGTCATTGTGTCAACATTTAAATTAAGTATACAAGAAAACGTTGGCAAGACATTTTTTTCTTTGTTATTTTACTCGCAAAGTATTTTGTCCACAAATGTAAAACTATTAAAGTGACCCCCAATTTGTCTCACTTTAAAAAACGACGTTAAGATCCATATCAGATCCTTATCTTCCTCGTGTAACAAAAAGGCCACTAAAACTTTGAGTATGCCCAATGTTTGGTGTTTTTGTATAATTTTTTTCCATTATTATTTTTATACTTTCTTTATTATCGTTTCTAATCGATACTTCCTTTTCGTCGTTCTCTAAATTTAAATGTGATGTAATATTTTTCCTTCGCTGTCCCCCCTTTTTTTTCCCACTGTCCCTCTTTTTTGTCCCTCTGGCTCTTTTTCTGGTTATCAATGTCCACTTATGTATCTCGTAGGTAAATGTTTAATTTTTTTTTTTTTTTAAATGATCATGTATTAAATGCGTGATGTCACTGGTCATGTGTGATGATATCCCAAAACCACTTGCACAGTGTTATATATTTCTTTAAATTGTGTACTTACATTATCCTGAATGTGTCCAAGAACGTGTAAACAGTGTGTCAGTCAATCTTTAAACCTCCGTCCTTAAACTCTCTGGTCCGGGTTTCTCACTCCACCCTTAAGTATATCTCGTCAAAGTATTTTTTCTTTTTCGTTTAAGGCTAATTATAGTGTGAAGATGTTTTATGGTTTCCTGCTGCCTCCTGCTACTTCCTGCTCGTCGGATCCACAGCTGACAATCAAACGCTTCATGCTGATCTGAGAACAGCTTCAATTCAACAAACGCCATTTGAATGTTAAATTGACTCATGAGACGTGGTGTTCAATCAAAGTTCAAATCTTTTTAGAACTGGCACCAACATATGAGTATTATATTAAATCTGTGAAGCAACATTATTCTCTCATGACTCATAATTACGGTTTATCATGTATGTGTCCAGTCTGACACCTGAGCTCATCTACATCACTACAGCTCAATCTCTTCAATCCTTATTTGGCAAATAATGTCTGTCATAGACATCGGTCCTTCTATCTCGTCTGTAGGGGAGCGCGGGGCACAGCGGGGCTAGTTGTAACACACTTGTTTTAAATACTTCCACACACACTAGCATGACGAAACTTGGTATTTACTAGTTGCCATTTCAACACTATATAGAGAAAAAAAATGCGCCAAAATCTTTGTAAGATATCACTGAACATGTGATCAACCATACCAAAAGTACATTTCTTACTTAAGTTCATTTTTCATCTCTATTTTTTGTGTTTATTTAAAACTAGACAAATCTGATATTATTTTAATCTCCAATCTGTTGTTTAACAGTTGATATAGTTCTTTAATGCTTCGCTAGCTAGCAGAAGACACTAGCAGGGTTTAAACCCTAGTTGTGCAGTTGGGGCATGTTGTCACACTTTGGGTTACAATATGCCCCTATTAGAAATATGCTATTATATTCTATACTTTTATGAATTCTATTGAGAAAACATGAGAAACATGTAAATAAAGACTGAGAGTCAATGTTCAGAAATTATTAATTATTATTATTTTTCTGAACTATGCTGTATAGGTTTATTTCCGGGGTGTTTGTTGTCCAACTCAAAAATTAGTTTATTTTTTAATGATTAAAAAAGGCCATTATTTTATTTTAAAACGTTAATAATAATTGTATTTCATTAAGAAAATATTTTGGTTAGACTTGTACATTTTTTTAATTAGATCAGACAGTATTTTAAGCCGTCACATGGTGATGTTCCATCCAATGTTGTCACATTTCACTTCCATTCTTTCAGGGTAAATCAAGAAAAAAGTAAACACTGTATTAATAAAACACAACCACACAATTGAACTAGACATGTGGGAAATTAATGTGGGAAAAAAGAAATACTCTAAACCCTGGGTAGATTTACACAAACTGAGAAAGTCAAAAAGCGTTACGTTGTGCCCAAAGGGTTGTGCCCCGCTCTCCCCTATCTATAATTACACACATCACATGTAAATTAAATATATCAAATCAATAATGCATTTGGTGTAGGCCCTCTTCTGTGTTTTAACTAATCAGGATGTTGTTGAAAAAAAAAAGAAGCTGATTACCTGGAAAAGAGCAAATAGTTTTTGTTCATGGTCGAAACACTGTTTGACACGACGCTTTCTCGGAAGTTGCGCATGCGCGTTTAGAACAAAGCGGGAAAAATCACAACGCTCGTGAAATGGCGGCGACGTGTCCAACATCGATTAAAGTAGGTTTAGTTCGCTTTGCTTTTAGTGTAGACACGGTGTTTATTAATTATTGTTGCAATTAGCTATCACAACTAATAAATATCCAACTTGTCACTTAATGCAACGACTAAACTCCACATTATAAGGCAGCACAAACACTTTTAATTTGAAACGATTCTTTTTGTGCCATTTTAACTTCTTTTAAATCTGAGACTGGTTGCTTTCCTCAAAGATACAACAGTATTAAAACAGATATTTAATCAGTATCTTATCATTCTGTCATTCATCTAAACCTGTCAATCACAGTGTTAATATAGGCTACTCTAATGTTCTTCCTCAGTGTTTCTGTCGTGGTTTCCAGCACAAATATCGAAACATTCTCAAATCAAGATAGATTTACTGAAGAAGAAACATTTTGATAAAAAATATTTATTAAAATAAAGACCTTCTATTAGTCATTTTGCTTCTCCAGAATATATCTTGATTTAGGATGTTTAGATATTAAAACGCTGAGGAACTCGAGCCGAATCTGTATCATCATCATCATCATCTCGCATATGAATATGTGGAAGGTTTTAATAATCTGTGAAGTGAATTCTCATAAACTCGATCCTGCAGTGATTTGAGTTTTGTTATCCATCAACACACGAGTGTAATCTACATCGCTCATTACAGCACTCACACACACACACACATTACATTTCACTAATAAACACTCCACTAAAATCTCACATCATTTATGATTGACAGTTCCCTGTGTCCGTCATCACATCTCCTGAACACACACACACACACACACTCTTAAAGTTACCGTGAAGAACGTCTCAATGAGTTTTAGTGAAAGGTTCTGTGGATGTTAAACGTCATCGATGCCGATAGAGAAGCGTTATTTGAAAGAGTGTGAGCAAGTTTAATATATCCGTCGTAACGCAGGTGTTCTGATGACGGAACGGTCCTGTAATATATATATCACACACGTTTGGAGAAGTTTGAGATCAGAGTTTGAGAAAACTCAAACCTTTCAGAATCATAGCGGCTCTGGAGAACATCTTACCTTCATCTGCTGAGTCGCGGGTTTGGGGAACTCAAGCGGTGTGTGTGTGCGTGTGTGTGTGTGTGATTAAAAGCCCCCCTCAGAGACTCTCGACTCACTTCCGGTGTGAGATCAACATCAGCCAATCCTCTGATTATCCTCACACACACTCGCTCG